TTTTTTCCAGACAATTTGAAGATGTTGATTCCTAATTAATATTTCAATAAAATAGGAGCTAAGCAGAGGGAATATTATTCTATAAACAAAACAATGAATATGCTTTATTTTCTAAGTATATAGCATCACAAGTTTCTATCTTGCTCTACCATGACTTGCTTTCTCCTCAGTGATGTATTTGCATCAACGCACTGGTATACATAGTGTCATCAGTTCATTTTCTGATTAAAAGCACTCAATTTAGAAGATGATTGAAGGGAGATATTATAAGTCCAGACTACACATTAGAGAAATATAATTCATCACTAAGGATCAAAATGTTTTCCTACGTATTAACTCAATAGTAACTCAGTAAATTACCTATAGCCATACTAAAATTGTTTTTTGAAAGTAGCCTATTTTCAGGAGAAAAGGGTGTGTTTATTTGAATAAAATACAAATGATCTAAAACATAATCATGTTTCAGTTCTTATCTTTGCCTGAATCAGAGAAGCAAAAATATTTTTGCTGAATGAATCTGTCTATGCATGTATTCCCTCACCCCAAAATGACCTTGAACATTAAGACTAAGAATTTGACTGTTCTGAACTCTCTGATGCTACGACATCACTTCTATCACTTAAAAGCCAGAGTCATGGTGTCAGTCTTTTGTTTTTTGGTTTTTGGTTTTTTTGGAATATACATAATATTCGGGAAACAAAATGTTGCTGTTGCAAAATGATGACTTTTTTGAATGAAAAAGGAGGCTTCATTTTAGGGTTTTTTTTTCTTAGATGGTCTCACTCACACCCAGGTTGGAGTGCAGTAGCATGATCTTGTCTCACTGCAATCTCCCCTGCTTGGGATCATATGATTTTTGTGCCTCAGCCTCCTGAGTAGGGAATGACAGTTTTGTGTCACTACAGCCAGCTAAGTTTTGTATGTTTAGCAGTGATGGGGGTTTTCACCATGTTAGCCAGGCTGGTCTCGAACTCTTGACCTCAGGTAATCAGCTGGCCTTGGCCTCCCAAAGTGCTGGGATTACAGGCATGAGCCACCATGCCCAGCTGAAAATCATTTTTATACATTATATTATGAAATGAACCTACACTGAAAACTTACAATGATTTTATATATGTATATATATATATATATGCTTTATTTTCTAAGTATATGGCATTATATACTTAGATATATATTATATATTATACTTAGATATTATATATATAAAGTATCTAGCATATGGCCAAAAAGCTGAAAACACAACAAACAAAACAAACAATAATCATCCCATCTGTTTTCATAGACCAACAACAAAATAATAAAGAAAAACCACTTTCAATGTTATTAGTAAATTTAAGTTGTTCAACATAAACACATCAATTTACATTTAAATTCCAAAATAATGCCAAAATGCTATGGGGTTTTTCTGTATTTTAAATAAAATATACCCTATATATGTATTATTGTGTTCTAAGATACAATATAAGCATTTTAAAAATTAAAAATAAAATGATAATTATTTGCTATAAAATTAGACGTGGCTGTTTTCCACGTCTCAGAAAGAATTTTAGTATTAACGTTTTAAGAAATATAATTTCACTGAATAACTCCTGGAAAAAATGTGTTTTAGATATATATATTTATGAACATATAAATTCTACATGCTGGATTTAGTAGCAAAAGATGATTTTTGGCAGGGTTTGGTCTGTCAGAAATCTCAAGGTATATCAACTCAAATTTCTACAGAAAGAATATATTGCAATTGCTTATAGTCATAAAATCATAATTTAAAATTATAACATTCATCTCCTCAATATTGTTGTTGTCAACAAACTATTTTAAAAAAATGTTTCTAAGCAATCTTACTTGTTCAAATAAGACAATCCTATTAGGGATATGATTTAGTTGTTGATTGTCAATAAAGTTGTCAGAGAAATTCTAAGGGTTTGCTGTAAGAATGCACATTTTTGTTTTTACTTTCAAAACTCGTATCAGAATGCACCACTGTTACAGACAGCTATCGATCACATATTTGGGTCTACAAAATTTGAGTAAACATTATTTTCTCTTTGATAATGTAAATATTCAAAACATTCTATGTCTTTTGTTAAATTATTAAAAAATGAACTTCTGTCCATTCTTCCTGATATGTGTTCAACCCCAAATTTAATTAGAATGAAAAATGAGTATTATTGGAAATAAAGTAAGGGAAAATATTGAAAAATAAGCAAGTAAACGTGAAATCAAAATGCACTCTAAGCTGCAAATAAACTTTACACATAACAATCAACCATTATTAACTCCAGGATTTCTAATTCAATGGGTTCCATTTCTTTCCAATTTACTCCAGCGATCCCAAGGCTCTTAGATGTGTAGAAAGAGTAGAGACTTCAAATAAGAAACTGTGAAATTTTATCATTCTGTCACAAATGCTCAGCATAACCTACCACTTAGGTAAACATCAAACAGTAATGTTTTGAACTTCCATTTAACTCATGAATAAAGATATCTCATAAGCATAAAAGCATAAAATAAGTGCATATAAAGATATGCACGAGACAGACAGAGACAGCATGTGCCAACCAGACCACTTTTGCTCTGATATTGACAGACTAAGCAATTAAAGTAATATTCTTTTTGATAACAACAAGAAAATCTGTAAAAAGCCACAAAAATGTGTCTCTCATGATACAGTCTAGGAGTATGAAGTCAGAGATGTCATATAAGATTTGTAATGCATTTCTTATAGGTCTCTGTCAATTCTAAAAGAAACAGCTTAAAGAGGAAGACTCAGAGAAAAGGTTTCAAGAGATGAATAGCCTCCTCTGAGTAGGGAGATCCAAATTGGGACTCATAGCCTGCCAAAATGTATGTTGATAGATTGTTAACATTTCTACCTAGGTTTTGAGCTTGTATATCAACAGGTGATGCTACATTTCAAGGTTAACCAAAATCAGACATGTCAATACAAAAGTAAATCCACCTTTGATTTATTTTAATCTCTACAATTGGATTATGATGATCCAGCTTATGAGAATAAAAATTCTTGCCAGGGCATGTTGGCTCACACCTGTAATCCCAGCACTTTGGGAGGCCAAGGTGGGCAGATCACTGGAGGCCAGGAGTTCTAGAGCAGCCTGGTCAACATGGCAAAACCCTGTCTCTACTGAAAATACAAAAATTAGCTGGTCATGACACACATCTGTAGTCCCAGCTGCATGGGAGGCTGAGGCACAGAATTGCTTGAACCTGGGAGGTGGAGGTTGCTGTGAGCCAAGATTGTGCCACTGCACTGCAGCCTGGGGGACAGAGAGAGACTGTCTCAAAAAGAAAAAAAGTTACGTTTAATCAGTTCAGAAATATAAAAGACAGAATTATAATCTTGGCCACAGAATGGAGACTAAATCAATTTGAAAATGGAGCTAAAAAATATAAAACTGAAATTAACGGCTTAACGTATGGGTTTACAGCTGAATAAAAGTATTAAATGGTAAATAAATGGAAGAACGTAATGAGAATGAAGTACAAAGAGACAGACAAAAATGAGGTAAAAACATGAAAACAAGAGTAAGAAATTGAGGAGATGCACTGCCATCTTCTCAGAAACAATTGCAGTAACGGAGAGGATGGACAGTAAGACAAGGACTATTTGAAAAGATATCTGATACTTTTCCAAAAGTGACAGAAGAAATCAAGCAACATAAAACCTATGCCTATTTTGAACGTAGAAACTACTATCCTGAAATTTACAATCAATATCCGCCTTCTAGATACTTTGATTAGATCCTTTCATAATACAAACATAAAGGGAAGACCCAACCATTGTTTATGACGTGATATGTGTGGCTTTGGAATTGGACCACAAAGTAGGCAATGGTTGCCATAGTCCTCCTACATGTATCTATTTGGTATGTAAATTAATTTGTTCAATATTCTTCTTTGAGAGAAGAATTTGTGGTCCTAGCTCTTAATTTTGACTTTCAAAATTATTAAAATCAGTCCTATAAATTAAGTAACTGACTACAGCTATACAAGTGTCAAGCATAATGAGAAGTCTAATCAAATTCTTACTATAAGGAACAGAGGAAACTCTTGGTTCCTGTAGCAGGTTTTCTTTTTTTAACTGCTGGAATAAACTTGGCAGCTTACGACAACATAAATTCATCATTTCAGGTTTGTGGGTCTGGAATCTGCCACAGATTAACTGGGTCCTCTGTTCAGGGTCTCATAAAAATGAAATCAAACTATCAACCTGCTACGTTTTCATCTGAGATTAGAGAAAAATCCACTTCCAAGCTGACTTATGTTATTGATAGAATTTTTCATAAAACCCAAGACTCTCCAAATTTGGTTGTCATTTTTCTGCAGCATGACATGTGAGCTAAGCTTTCATCTGATTTATTACACATCAGATCCAATAGACAATATACGGATATCACTTGTCTTGTTCTATCAAAGTAAACACTGCATTTGCACAGAATGTGCACATAAGAATATTTTATTACAGTGACTAACAGAAATCTCTGTTTTAATAGAATCAGAAGTGACACCTGGTATGTGCCGGTGGCAATCAATTACAGTACTTTTCAGAAATGTGTTTTTGTAGTTTGGAGAAAAAAAGTTTTTAACGACATGCAAGAAAAATATTCCACCAATTTTCTAATGACTTAAATTGCAATATGCGAAGGTAGATTTCAGTGTAATCATCAGATGTTTTATGCATGGCTATTGAACGTTATGAGATACACTGCAGTAGCTAATAATAAAAGTTAAAGATCATTTATAGCAAAGTCCGTACACATTAAGACACATAAAATCACACAATATCTTATGCATGCATATTGTAAAAGAGCTCCATAAAGTATCACAATAGATTTTGGAGAAATCGAAAGACTCCTGCGGAGTCTACTGCTGTAAGTAGAAATATCTGAATTTTCAAAAACAAATCACCAAAGAGAAAAAATAATAATGAGTGAAAAATAACTGATATAAAAAAGGTCAGAACTTACCTGCTTGCTGATGCTTTTGTTACTGGTATCCTTGACAAAGCCAAGAATTATCTCAAGATTTTTTTTTAAAGCGACATTAAAAAAGAAAGCCCCAGGTCAAGACTGAAGCAGAAATCTTAAGAGATATGGTAACACACTCAAAAGGATGCACTGATGTCAGGGAAATCTGAAAGATAAATGTGAAATATCCAGGAATTAAATATGTCTAAACTTAAAACTACCCAAAAATGTCCTCAAGAGAATAAGATGGAATCCAATTTTTAAATAACGTCAAATAATTTGAGGAAACATAGATTTGACTTTTGATATTAATAGCTTTGAGGTGTTACACATTCCCAAATCTTAATTGTGTGTTGGATTTATATTAGGTTGATTACAAAAAGAAATTTTATTGGTCACAATTGCCAAAGTGGGGGAAAAAACCCAATGATTTTTCTTTTAGCTCTGTATTTCCATTAAGGTCTTTAAAAATTGCCAGTACTTTTGAAATGGCAGTTACTAAATGGTCCTGTAACCTAATCAAAGTCATTTCCAATATTATTTATTGTTTTTAAATTGTCTAACTTTAGAGACTCTCTTCTACTTCATACATAGGTTAGAATAGGGATAATATTAACTTATTAATTACCTCAATTATCTGAGGAAGAGAGACTAAGCAATGCCAGAATGTTAAGTTTTAGAATAAGGTATTTGTAAACACATGCAAGAGGTTGAATTTTCTTGGTAAGTTTGAAAGATCATTCTGGCATGGACAATGTCCTAGCTAGAAGAACATAAACATATTTTAGAGGCTCCACAGCATCCTGGTTATTGAGTGTGTATTTGAAATTACAACAGCCTAAAAATGCATTTGAGTTAAAAAAATATAGATTTTAAATGTCTCTACTGATGATTCATGGTTAATTTAGGCTGTACAAAGATTTAAAGTTGTTCATTAAAAGGTGTGAAATATGAAGTCAACAACCTACATTGTATTTTTCATTATACCCATCCTTCCTTTCCTCCTTCCTTCCTTCCTTGCTTTCCTTCCTTCCTCTCTCTTTCTTTTTTTCTTTTTGCTTTTTTTGAGATGGAGTCTCCCTCTGTGGCCCAGGCTGGAGTGCAGTGGTATGATCTTGGCCCACTGTAACCTCTGCCTCCCGGGTTCAAGCCATTCTTCTGCCTCAACCTCCCAAGTAGCTGGGATTACAGGTGTGTGCCATAACACTCAGCTAATTTTTGTATTTTTAGTAGAGATGGGGTTTCACCATGTTGGCCAGGCTGGTCTTGAACTCCTGAACCCTTTTGCTGGCTGCAGTGGATCATCAATTGTTTTCTCTGCTTTGCTTAACGTTCATTTACTGATAGAAAAACACATTTACCTTACTTCAATAATAAGGACCAGATCCTCCTTGCTGATAATTCCCACTGTCGAATTCTTTAATATCCAACTATTTTCATTACACATTTCAGTCTGGACTGACTATTCAGGATTTTGTTGTCCATGTTAATGTATCATTCCACTTTAAACATGCTTTCCTCAGTGATGTCTTCTGCTCACATGCTTTAAGGTGTCCCTCTGTTTGCTGAAATCAGAATTTAAAATATCCTTCTTGTGGGTTCTTGCAGCTGGTACCTTTATTTATGTGTTGATCACATAGGCCTAAATATGGGAAGCAGAATAATGCTTTCATTCTGATCAATTTTCTTGAATGATGTTTCCATATATTTACTCATGATTTGTAGCTAACTCAACTCAAACAAAATTAATATAAAACATCAGCACTGATTTTGGCATAATGAGGAATCATTTGACACTGAGTAATAAAAACAAAGGGTTTATAAGCAGTCAAAGGACTTTACACATAAACTTTAGTAAAATAGTATCAGCTGTCAAAATTCAAGTAACGCATACTGAAAATAGGAGTAACCAAAGGAATAATAATTGTGTTGCAAACTTGTTATACTTTACTGGCTTAAATTGAAGAACAGACATTTAAAATTAAGAAAAATGATTTTATTTATTCCCCCCAAAGTTAAACTTTCTTCATAGGCCTTGAACAAAATATCTTACCTTTCAAGAAATTACAATAATATTTGACACTTTCAAAGTGTTGTTAAATTGAAGAGGTGTATTACCCATTTTGAATGTTAAGATTCTCTTCATTTAATATTCACTCTACTTTAACTCCATTCTGGTACATAATAAGATACAAACACATTTATAATTTGAAGTCTCACATAATGAAAATATTACTTTTAGAAACAAGCACTATTCTAGATGTAAAACATGTTTAGTAGGGAGAAAAGGCCTCTTTGAAAGCTACTCTCAGGTGTTATTATTGAATTGAAGAATTTCCAGGTGAAGGGAAAGAGAACAGCCTTACAACTCCAAAAATGTCAATCTCCATAACAGCAAATAATTTGCCTTTTCAAGTCACAAGACTGCAATTAATCACATTAGACATCAAAAAAGCAAATTGAGGCTGTTTTTAATGATACGTCCTTGTGTGAAAAAAGGTAATAGTTGTGGAGTACCCAGGTGATTAATTGAGGTACTAATTTAGATTACATGTTGTATGAGTATACAGTTTCTTTGGGGATTGGTGGCATTCAAATAGGGGCTCTTATTTATAAGAATGCTGTAATTGTTCAAAAATCAGTGTTAAGACTGATACAAATATGCTATAAATTATGTTAAAACTGTAAAGTAAATCAATCGATTTCATTAAATTTATATTAGATCAGTTTATATTGCTTTGCCATGGTCTGTTACACTGGTACACTGGTCTATCAAGTTGTAGGTTCACCCTCACAAAATCCATTAAATTTAGTCCAGGTACTTGAGCCCAAGGCTTCATATTTTTTTTGTTGGGTGTTAATACACCATAAAGATAATACTAGACCCCTAACATTTAAGTGCCATAAGATTTCCTAAATAAAGAGGAAATAAATCAGCAAAGTAAAACTGTAGGATAAGAGTATAAATTCAACATTCAGAAATTACCTTTAAAATGTCTGAAATCCTTTTAAGGATAGTTGAGTCTGTTTACATCCTTTGCCAACTTTTTGATGTTTTTTTTTTCTTGTAAATTTAAGTTCTTTGTAGATTCTGGTACAGAAAACCAAACATCACATGTTAACGCCCATAAGTGGGTGTTGAACAATGAGAACACATGGACACAGGGAGGGGAACATCACACACCGGGGTCTGTCAGAGGGTGTCGGGGCTAAGGGAGGGATAGCAGGGGGTGGAGGGATTGGGGAAGGATGACATTACAAGAAATACCTAATGTAGATGAAGGGGGGATGGATGCAGCAAACCACCATGGCAAGTGTATACCTACGTAACGAACCTGCACTATCTGCACAGGTACCCCAGTACTCACAGTATATATATATAAAGAATAGTTGTAGTATCATTTCCCCGATAAGACTTGTAATCTAATTAAGTTAGGTGTCCCTTCTATGTGTTTGCATAATTCATGGATTCCTAATATCCTAACATTTAATCATACAGTATGGTCACTATCTGTTTAGTACTTTCCTTTTCCATTACACTATAAAAATTGTGAGTGCTGTGCCACATTTTTTTTTAAGTGGGGATCACACTTAAGGCCTCAACTTAAAATGTCCTTCTTCAGGGTCACGTTTTCTGATTAGGATACATTAGCCTATTACAATCACTCAAAGAAAGGTCTATACATTTTTGTTTGTTTAAGCACATATGCTAATTGCAATTAAGCACTAAATTGTTTGTTTGCTTTTTTACTGTCTGTTAGCTCATGTTCCCTGAGATTAGAGATTACACAGGCTTCTTCTCTGCTGTATTCTCAGTTCTAGCCCAGTGCCTGGCAGCCAGTGCTCAACAAATATTTATGTCACCAAACATTATCCACTTAATACATGCTTCATAAAAGTATCAAGGGCTTTCTAAAGTTTTTTGCATGAAAGCCTGTACTTCAATAACATCATTTGTAGCACTATAAATTATATATAATATAGTTTTATATATAATTTATAAGAAATATAAATTTATAAACTCTATAATTTGTATATTCATAAATTATATAAATATATGCACATATGTACCAAATCAGGAGTCAGTAAGGAAAACGCAAAGAACCCAATTTAAAAATGGGCAAAACACCTAAAGAGACATTTCATCAAAGAGATATTCAAAAATGGCCAATAGGTATATGAAAAGTTGCTCTCAAGAAAAGGCAAATCAAAATCTGTAATGAGAAAACAACTGGTTAAAACAAAATACAATTGTTAAACATAAAATGATTTCTTATACTAAATATTTATGAAAATGTAAAGAAATTGGAATGTTTATACATTTCTAAGAGTGTAAAATTATCCTACAATTTTAAACAACCCTTTAGCAGTTTCTAATTAAACATATGCCTATTTTATGATCCAGTGATTCCCCATTTTCTGTATAAATCCAAAGTAAATGATTGCATAAACCATTAAAAATACCTGTAGGAGAATGTTCACAGAGGTATTATTTAGATAGTAAAAATCTGGAAACAAACTAAATACTTATTACCAGGAAAACTGATTAACAAACTGTAGTATAGTCATACAATGAACTATCACACAACAACTCGAAATAATTTCTGATACACACAGAAATTAACAGATTGCAAAAATATTACAAGTAAAATACTATAAGCATATGCCCAAAACTAAATATACATAATCCTATTTATACAAAGTCCCCAAACAGGCAAAACAAATCCATACTTCAGAAATTTAAATAATGGCTACTTCTGTGATGAAAAGGGGTTTTACAAACTTGGAATGTGCATGAGGTACATGATACCAAACTATTTTATCTCTTGGTCTAGATGATGGTTACCCTGACGTATACACGTGTGAAAACATATTTGATTCATACGGCTACGTTAGCTTAACTAACACAAGTTAATATATGTATCTTGTTCTCCTTAAAGAAAAATAAAACTGGGGAAAATTTAATGAAGAGTAAGACATTAACATTTTCTCTTTCAGCTAATAAAATTTGTGTTAATAGCTGAGTTACTGCTATAAGAAAAAAGAAATCAATGGAACACAAGACAGAGTAGAGAAACAGCTCAATGCATAGATCAATACTTTAGCTCTGAATACGGTATTTTAGGGCATTGAATAAAGAATAGAACCTGCACAATCGCTTCTCCATTTCAGGAAGGAAGGAAGGAAGGGAGGGAGGGAGGGAGGGAGGGAGAGAGAGGGAGGGAGGAACTCCACTTCAGATCCTAAATAGATTTTATTATCAAGTGTATCATAAGTTAAAAAAAATAAAAGCTTTAGAATAAAATATGGAGGATTATATTCTTCATAATAAAACGTATTATTTATATAGTGTTTACTCAATCAAGCATTGTGTACTACTAGGCACTTCCAAAGTTTATATTGATTTGCTTATTCAATCTCAAAAATCTACTTTATGAGTAAGATACTAATATTATCCTCATTTCACAAGTGAAGAAGTAAGTTATAGAGGAGGTATTTATTTTCCATTGCTGAATAATCACCAGTTCATCAGCTTAAAACACCAGTTTATTTTCTGTGTCTGTGGGTCAGGAAGGCAGCACACTTTAGATGAGTTTTCTTGCTAAGGGACTCATGAGGCTGAAATCAATGTGTTGGCTGGCCGTGTCTTCATCTGGAGTGCCAAATAGGAAAGAACTGTCCCAAGACCGTCAGGTTGTTGAAAGAATCAGGTTCCTTAGGTGTGTAGAACTGAAGTCTCCAACTTCTTGCCAGCAGTTCAACCACTTTCAGGATCTCGCTCCCTGATCCCCTTCACAGGCCATCTCGTACTTTCAATCATCTGACTTAAGGACCCCGCTATCGGCCTAAGCGTCCCCGCACTTCCATTCTCTCTAATTTCAGGAAGGACTCAATCTATTTCAAGGACTCACCTGATTAGTTCAGCTCTATTCAAGTAATCTTCCCTTTCATGAACAGCATGAGTGAGGAAGCAAGCCAATTTGACCGGCTTAGAATTCTTAGTTATTGCATCATTATGTGCATAATGAATTATTCTTTATGTAAAACACAAAACATGCAAACTAAAATGAAAAACAGTGATAAATTCCACTATTTTAAAATTTTGTAAGACTTCTTCACAAAAGATGTATTAGTGTCAAAACTATAATTACAACCTGGAGATAACATCTGCAACAAATATATAAATTAGATGACTGGGGAGAAAGAGAAAGTAGGGAGAAAATAAAACTATATTCATGTACTTATATGTATATATAACCCTACAAGTATATAATAAACTCATAAGAAAAAAACAGAAAAATGACAATTGTGAACCAGCATTTCACAAAAAGATAAATCAAAATGGTAAATAAACTTATGAAAAGATTCTTAACATAATTTATAAACAGGAAATGCAAAATAAAATTCTAAGAGAGAGAATTATGGATTTATCAGATTGAGAAAAATGAAAAGTCCACCATTGCTAAAAACTTTCTGTCAAATTTTTGGAACAATGGGAACATTAATTGATGGTGAGACTATATTAGGAATACTTATAATGATTCCCCAGCAAGTATGGTGGCTTCTTTAGGTGGATACTAGACTCTATCAGGGTTATGGGAGTTCTTTCAATTATTGTTTTTTTATTTTATTCATAATGTTGTTGAATTTTATTGATGATTTTTAAATCTATTAATACGTGTATATATTTCCTATATGGCATAATTTCTGAATTTAATCAAATTTAGGGAAGCCACATATATTCTAATGTTTTATTCCATCCTGGTATCTATTTTGTCCTAAAGTCCTACACTGTTTTCCTGAATTATTCTGCTGAAATACCTTTAAGGTTTCTGCATGTTTGTTAACAGCTAAGATTGACCTATAGTTATCCTTTTTTTCCAGTATGATTTATGCATATCCAAATTATCTTACCCTTTAAAATAAATTAGAGTTCCCATTTTGAATACAGTTGGAAGTAACTGTGCTTTAAAATTTATGTTTTGTTTTAACTGGGCCTGTGAAGAGTTTTAGACTACTCCTTTTCCAGGAGCCAATGGACAAATATGGAGACATTTATCATATAATTTGAATTGTTTATAACTATTAGTGTATTCAAGGGTTCTGTTTCTTGCTACATGTTGATTATTGTCACAGAATATTTCCTGAGAGTGTACAATATTCCCTT